GCCAGGAGAATGGGTAGGCTAGTGGAAGAGAGGTGTGGATGTGCTAGGTAGAGACTAGAGCACAGAACAGGAAGCTACATTCAAGGAATAGTCGGAACGAAGTGTATGTGTGGTTAGAAGCTGGAGAAGCAGGGCAGGGTCCAAGGAGTCTTGTTTTTCTAAGCTACTCAATTTGATCTTTATCTTGAAATCTGTGGGAAGCCATCGATGGATTTTCATCGGAGGAGAGATGTCCAGTTTACATTATAGAAACAACTCTACAGGCAAGTGGAGAGAGTGCAAGGGGTCAGACCGGTAGGAACACCAGTTGTCAGGCTTATGCAGTAACCAGATAGGAATGCAAGAGAAGTGTTGAATGGAGGGGTTAAAAAGTTCCTGGAGAGTTGTCCAAAAGCCCTTAGACTTCCCCACCAGCCTACCATCATCTGTCTTTCCCAGGGCAGCCATATTTCAGGGATATTGTGAGGGCTTATACATTATAAAATGAAAATGTACCTTGGGAGAGTCAAACCTACTTGAGAAATTATGCTTTTGTGGGAATAATTTAAATCTGGTAATTAGACACATTCCATTTAAAGACTTTCCCTGGCATAACCTTAAACTCTGTATAGACAGTCGCTTATTAACTCAATCCACGCACCAGTTACTAGAAGACAGATGATCAAAGGAGCCTCCCCACAACTCCCTGCCTCTGCCTCACTTCTTTGCCCGCCAGTGGGGACAGGGAGGAAAAGACAGACACACACAAAGTGTCAGGGTCAGAAAACCCCGTGCATCTCCCATGCTCACTTTCTCATTTTATCCTCAGAGACACAGCAGAAATCATCTCTGAGCTCCGTTTCTAAGACCCTGTACCTTGGACCAGCACTGCATGCCTGAAACTTGAGGCTGGCACCCTCAGACTGCTAGTTTGCTTTAAGATATCTCCTCTATTTTAATTCAAAACAAAGTGGAGACATTGGAAATTATTTTAGAGTGAAAGTGTCGTTGGTGTTGATGCACTAGCACCTGCAGGAGTGTGAGGTAGTCACGCTCACCTTCAAATCCCACTCTGGGCAGCAGATGGCCAGCCCCAGGCAGAGCACGCAAGCCGAACAATGCATTTCAGATGCTCGGCTCGGGGGTCAAGAAGGTTGGTTAGTGAGCGTCCATTTCCGGTGTTACCTACCATGGTTGTCTGCACAAACACCCATTGCTTCATCCGGGAAAGGAGTGTTCTGGGGCCACCCTCTTGGTGGACTCTGAGATTCACCTTGTGGGCAATGACGAAACAGAAGGGAGCTTTCCCCCGGAATCCCATTGTGCTGGTGCTTACTGGCTTTCATCAGGCTCTCTGCAAACCCATCTGTCCCTCCAGTGGGGGACTGTTGCCTTGTTGACAAGCTCCTGGGTCATTAATACCATATATTAGATTGATGTGCCCCAAGGTCTGGTTGATTGCTGCTTGTGATAAATCATAAACCCATCCCCACTAACTGGCTCTATTCTTTAAAATAGTGGTTGGTATGTCATCACAGCTTGGTCCCTGAGACCTCACTATACCTCTGGCTTTGAGAATATGAGCTAAATTGAGATTCTGTGGATGAAAGGGAATTTGTAACGCTAAATTCTTCTGTCATAGTTCACACAGCCATGTAAAGACTTAAAAAGGCCCTACCTAGGACGGGCCGTAGGACAGCATTGCAGCCGCTGTAAAAATATCCCAAACTATGTCTCCCATTCTCTCCCTGTCTTTTATTTTCCTTTAGTTCTGACCCTCTTGTCCTCCTAACAAGCTGCCACTATTTGCCCCATCTCTTTCCTTTCCTGTGATCCTGGAGAGCGGCGACCTGATTTCTAGACCCACTCCAGCCTTTAAAAACTATGATCTTGGGCAAATCGCTTCAACTTGCCGAGGCTCAGTTTCCTTATTTGTGGGAACTGAAAATAAAACCTACCTTGCTTACTTTACAGAGTGGTTACCAATAAGATCAAGTGGAGTGATACCTGTAAAGTCTTCTGAAAATGATACAGTTTGACACCCACTTAAGGTGGTAATATTTCATGACCTAATCTGGTTTACATTAATTATAGCTATAATAAATTGCCTTTGTGTATAACACAGAAATTTGATCATCTTTCTGTTCTGCAAGGGAAAGAAATAATGATAGTTAATGTTTCTTCTTTATTGTGAAGAAACTGAAGCTTAGAAAGATTTAGTAACTTGTCCAAATTTATATTACATATAAATGACAGAGCCAGGATTGAAACTCAAAGTGCTTGCTCCACATTTTATATAGTTAATAGCTATTAGCATTGACTGAGTGGAAGGAAAAGCATTTCTCAGGTTCTTATGGGTTTTTGTTACTTTTTTCTCTGGTATACCAGCTGACAGAAAGCTATTCTGTATAGCTGTATAGAAGCTGTATAGAACACATTTTTTTCTATGACTTAAAAAAAATTTTTTTTAAGTTTATTTATTTTGAGAGAGACAGAGACAGTGCGAGCAGGGGAGGGGCAGAGAGAGGGAGAACCTTAAGCAGGCTTTGTGCTGCCAGCACAGAGCCGGACGTGGGGCTTGAACTCCTGAAACCGCAAGATCATGACTGGAGCCGACACCAAGAGTTGGACGCTTAACCGAGTGAGCCACCCAGGCGCCCTAAAGGTTTTTTTCTATGATTAAAGCAGATAATCTGTGCTAGTATTGTTGGGTGGGAATTTTATAATCTTAGTGTTAAAAAATGTAAAACCGTACATGAACTGCAGAGCCGGACCAGTTTTTGCTTGTACTTATCAAAGTTGTGATCTTGGGTAAGTTACTTGACTTCCTTCGGATCTCGTTTTCTCATCCTTAAAAATAAGGACAGCAATTTGCTCCCTCCATAGAGTTGTAGGAGGTTTGAATGGTGTCAGGCACGCTGAGCACTTAGGAAGGGCCTCTCTCACAATAGGTCACTCAACAAACATTAGTGATCTCCTTTTCTTTGGCAAAGCGAGTATTTCTGCTTTTGAAGTTCCAGTTGGTCGGGCAGCAACATACTTGATATGAATTCAGCTTCGTTTTACACTTAAAAGTATAATAAAAATTATAATATTTACAGATAAGATAGTAAATAGTTACTGGTACGGAGTAGGTACTGTGTTCTGAAATAAGTGTTTCAGCAATCTTACGGAATTCTTAATAACCTTCTAATTAGGCAGGCTTATTATCTACATTTTGGAAATTGAGATATTGAGAGGCTAGGTTAAACCAGCTGGAGAGTTGAGATTTGAATCTTGGCCGGCTGACTCTAGGTCCTGTTCCCTTAATCACTGTGGATTGCAGGAATTCTGTGGGAAAAAGAGGAAAAACACACCATTGGTGATTTCTGAAACCAAGAGTCATTTTGTTGCCAAGGGACTTAGCCTGGACTTAAAAGTAAATGAAGGTAGGTGCGTGAGAGGAGAGTATACCTTTAAGGCCAATGTTTTTAACCAGAATTCTACATCATTTTTATATTTTTAATTCTTAAGGCTATTATCTGGGAGATGTACAATCAGATCTTAGAACCAGATTTTTGGAGTACTGTAGAGCAGCCTCAGGAATATTGATCCTTGCTCTATTCTGAACTCCACCATGTCATTTGACCAAGACATTTGACTTCACAGAACCTTGGGAATAAAAGGTATTCTTTTGGGGGCACCTGCGTGGCTCAGTTGGTTAAACGTTTGACTTCGGCTCAGGTCACGATCTCCAAGTCAGGCCTTCTGCTGTCAGTGCAGAGCCAGCTTTGGATCCTCTGTCTCCCTCTTTCTCTGCCCCTACCCCACTCATGTTCTCTTACTCTCTCTCTCAAAAATAAATAAACATTTAAAAAAATCAATAAAAAAGACATTCTTTGGAACTTTTTAGTTCACTTTTAAAACTTTTTGAGGGGCACCTGGGTGGCTTAGTCGGTTAAGTGTCCAGCTTTGGCTCAGAGCATGATCTCACAGTTGGTGGGTTCAAGCCCCGTGTCGGGCTCTATAGCTGACAGCTGAGAGCCTGGAGACTGCTTTGGATTCTGTGTCTCCCTCTCTCTCTGCCCTTCCACTGCTTGTGTTCTCTCTGTCTCTCATACAAATAAATAAACATTTAAAAAAACTAAATAAAACTTTTTGAAACGATCATCCATTTCAGATGGATGGAAATCTTATCTGAGAACTTCCAGAGAATCATACTGCTCACAGAACCCACTGCTTTGTTACACTTGCTATAAAAGACTAAACAACTAAATCAATAATCAGAATTCCTTGTGTTCCTTATGTTGTGGCTGAAGTTGTTTTCCATAGAGGAAGCTTGGGTCTGTTGATCATTATCCATTTTTGAACTTTTATTTGTTTTTTCCCTACTTTATATGGGAGTGGGTGGATAATCCTGGTAATTTCTATTCTATTTCTCTAGTCCTTTGAAACCTGGGTGGAAGAAGTGACTCCATATAAGTGACTTGTGGAATTCAATCTTCTGATGGCAGGGAAAATTAAGTGGCATCAGAATTTTAGACCCAGGACCTAACTATATAGATCTGCCACTCTCCTCTGATGGGCTCTGTGACCTTGACCAGGTCACTTCCTCTCTCTGATCTTGGTTTCCTTATCTAGGAGTGAGGACTACATGATCTCAAAGGTTCCTTTTCGTTTTAAAGCCTTGGGTTTCTACCTGACAGCCCTGAAAGACTATGTTTATTAAATATTCTGTACCATGGCTAAAAGATTATTCGTTTGTTACAGACTTTTTGGATGCCTTCTGGTCTGAAGAAATCTCCAGCTGCTCTGATGATAGTTTAAGAAGACTGCATGCTGTTTCCTCTCGATGCCAAGCCAGGCCCGCGCGGAACCTCGGATCCCAGCCCTTCATGGCGACTGGGTCCCAGCAGGAATGGCAGTGGAAGACATCGGCACCCAGATGGTTCCTTCACGTGAAGTTGTCTTGGGCTGTGGGCCGACTCGAGAACACCTGGTAGCCAGGCCGGCCCTCTGTCAGTCACCCAGGGCCGGGCAGCATGGCGTGGATTCAGAGGAGGCAGCTTTTGGCATCTTGCCTCTGCATCACAGCCTCTGTCTTTCTGCTTGTCACACTCCAGGTAGCAAGAATTTGGGCTGCTTCGTGTTGAGCCCTGAGCCTTTCCACCCTTTCCCCCTTCAACCCACTGCATTTTCTCCAAGTACTTTGCTTTTTGCTTAATTTCTCAGGATCGGGGGTTTTCTGTCTCAGGCAGGGAAAATACTCTTTT